AATCTGGTGGAGTGTTTCGTAACTCTTGAAATAATTGGTTCCTCTTTAAGCCACAATTTTCATTTAATTTTCGAGGCCGTATTCTGAGAGCGCATCCCGGCTTCCCCAGCCGCTGGGCTCCACAGCCGTTCGGGGAGGGGGAGGCGGACAGCCGGGGCCTGGAAGCTGCCGGTTCGGGACTGCTCCCTGACTCGGCTCCCGGCCGAGGTGGGGCCCGTGCCGCACCCCAGAGTGGGCATGGGAGTTAACAGAGGGAAGCCTTGTCCTGGCGAGGCGCTTGGCACACAGGTGATGACAGAGGAGCTGACAGCTCTTGGTGAGCTTACGCTGCACCGTGGGCAGGGCCTGCAGCCCCCAAGGATGTGGCCAGAGGGTCCTTCCTCTCCGACCTGTGACTTTTCTCTATGTTGGCTGGAGAGACGAGCTTCACAGCCCACGTGGTGGGTGATGCTCCTGCCCGGAGACCGTCCCCTTTAAATGAACCCTGGCTCGGACCTATGCTGTTGTTGTTATACATGGGGCGTGGGGCGGCACCCCCCGGGCTCCGTGGCCTTCAGCCAGACCCCTCGCCTCTCTCAGCCTCAGCTTCCTCACCGGTGAAGGGGCTGGGAGCTCACGTTAGTGGTGGCGTCGCTGGATAGCAGTTTGGATTTGATACACGGTGTCCGTCAGATCCGGGCCATGCCCGACACGTGGGGGATCCGAGACGCGTGTGCGCACGTCCCAGAGTGACTGCGGTGGCGTCTGGCAGAGAGGACCGAAGTGGGAGGGTCAGGCCGCGCCGATGAGGCGGAGCAACCTGTTCGTTTGAAATTATTCATGGAGAAAGAGGACGCTCAACTGAATTAGAGTGACTTTCCTTTGCTTGTGGAAGATGGGCTTCGCACACCCCCCCACCCCCGCCGCCCCCCGAGCCTGCCACATCCATCACCCACCCCGAGGCGGGCATTACAAAGGACAGTGACAGAGCGACTCTCCCACCCTCCCCACGGCCAGCAGGCTTGGACCCGGAACAAAATGAGCGGAAAGTGATGCTTCGTCCCCAAAGGCTCCGTTCTCATAGCCCCGTCCTCAGAGAACAGATCAGTGGCTATGAGTCCCTGGCGGCCTCCAGTCCAGCTGCCACCCTGGGTGACCTTTTTGAATGACCTTGCCCCAAAACCCCAGCTCGGGGACAGAGCCAACAGGGCACACCCATCGTGTCCCGGGCATCGGCCGGGATGAGGGGTGCCAGTCCCCACAGGGACGTCGGGAATTCTGACAACAGTGACAATGGAGCACCCGCTGTTTCCTGTCCTGTCCTGAGCTTTTGGATGTTGCAGCGGGTGCTCCGGATGCACACCGCACACCTCGTCACTGGCAGGTGCAGGGAGGCGGGGCCGACCGGGCCCTCAGGTGCTCCCGGTGTGGGGAGGGGAAGCTAGCGAACGAGCACTTTGGGAAGGGAAAGCAATTTAGCAGAACAGGGCCCTTCCCCGCCTTGGCTGCCGCGGGGAAGCTCTGGGCCCAGGGACCGGCCCCGCTCTCTCTGGGTTTGACCTAAGCTGCTGCCCGAGCCTCAGTTTGCTGGTCCGCAAACTGGGGGGGGTCGAGGGCGCCCACCTCCCGACTCTAGAGAAGAGCGCGCAAAGCGGGTCCGGCGCTTGAGCCACAGGATCGTCGCCATAGTTACAGCAAGTAGTTGCCATGAGTACAGTGAATCTGGGCTGAGGACCAGCCTGCCCATCCCCTCTTACTCCGTCCCGTCTGTGACCAGCCTTTGGTTGTGAGTCCTGTGGTCACAGATTTGGGGACTAAGGCTGGGGCAGGAGGCCAGTGGTAGGATCCACCTCTGTGTGTACCCTGCGGGGAGAGCACTGGTCCTCCAAGGGGAGGTCTCTCAGATTGGGGAAACCCAGGCAGGGTCCACCTCTGCCATTAGCAGCTGGGTGACCTGGGACTCCTCTCCTGGCCGGAAGTCCCGAAGCCTCCCGCCCGGTGCTTCAAAAACTCTTAAACGCATCGCCAGCATTAGAGGTCAGGCAGTGTCACAGCCGGCTTCCAGGTCCTGGAGGGGTGGGGAGGGGTGGCCCCTTGGGGCCACCTACCTGGGGCCCACTGGGGTTTCAACCTGTAGCGCCCATGTAGAGAGGAGTATGGACTCGGAGGTGGTGGGCGGGGGGCGGGGGGGCTCGTGCTTGATTAGCAACGCCTGCCGTGGGGGGCCGAGAGCAGCGGGCGTCAGCGCTGGGCTAAGGCCCAAGCGACCCACGGGGCCAGGCAGGTGACAGACTCAGGGACAGCTCGGGGCTGAGTGGGCAGCGCCCACGCCTGTATAAAAAGAGTGGCCGCCCACAGCTCCATTTCGGGGACCGACCGTGGGCGCAGACGTCCTCAGGCCTCCAGTTTGCAGCCTTCCCAGCCAGTGCTTGCAGGGCGCACTCTCTGGAAAAGTGGGTTCATGTTCCCTGAAGGCTGGGTCTCCTGGAGGGAGCGCCCTCGTTCTGAAAGTGCATGGGGTGCCGTTGGCTGGCCCAGAGTGCCCTCTCCCCGTGCAGGGGGCGGGGCTGGGGCCCTCCTGCCCCACTCGTGGGGGCCCCGCCCCGTTCCTTCGTGCCTGAGTGTGGCCTGGAGCCTGCAGTTTACCCTCTTCTCTTCAGCCGATGGGTCTGGGCTGCCCTCAGTGTGCTGAGCTCGTCGCTGCACGTAGGTCTCCCAGGCAGGTGCCCTCCACCGTCCCCTCCACGTAGGGCCCCCGGGATGCACGCGGGTGAAGTCCTGGGTCACGCAGCGGCCGCGCTGGCCTGGGACCCTCGACGGTCTCCCTCCTGCTCTGGGCTCAGGCCCCAGGCCTTCGGCTTCAGAATGTGGCCTAGAACTCTGTCGACCTTTCTCCTTTTCTGAGAGTTCTTCCTGCTTCCCTGCCATGTGGGCTTCCTGGTCCAGCCTGCGTGGGGCTGGGGCCTGCGACCCGGGTGGGCACAGCAGAGCGGCCAGGAGCCTGGTGCTCGTTTCGGGGGGTGAGCCTGTCACACAGGATGCCAGCCCCCAGAAACCAGGCCCCCTGCCCTTGGGGCCCCCTCAGCTGGCGCCTGGAGCCGCGGGCCATCTCCTCCCAGACACTTGGTTGGCTCTCGCCTCCTCCATGGCCCCTGGCGACCCCCACAGCCTCGCCGCCTCAGCTGCCGCCGCCGTCTGGGCTCGGGAGGCACCAGGAGGAGGCACAGCCCGCCGGGGCCCCGCAAGCCCCTGGGACGGGGACAAAGGCGCCCCACAGCCGGCCCGCCCGCCCTCCTGGCCCAGCCTGGGCAGGGCCTGGGAGGCAGCGGAGGAGCGGCGGGGTGCCCACCACCGGGGTCCGGCTGGGGTGAAGAGTGCACCGGCTTGGGGGGGGTCGCCGTCCCCTCTGTGGAGGGAGGCTGTGGGTTTTGCACAAAGCAGGCCTGTGTGTCCCCTGAATGGGTGGCTTTATCCCGGGTCCTCACGGGCAGAAGCTGGGCCCTCTGGCATCTAGCCAGGCCGCCAGGCCCTGTACCAGCCTGTCTGGGGAGGCGGGGGGCGTGGCCTCCGTCCCTGGGTCGAGGCCAGAAGCCTGGCCTTTGCCGAACCCAGACCCGCCCTCCTGGCGGGAAAGAGAGGGTGTCTTGAGGGTGCTGCAGACTCGCCTGAGTCCCTGCCAGGCAGGGCCCCACCCCCCTCCGCGTTCCGTGTGGCACCAGGGTCCCTGGCCAGCTCCTCCTCCCTCCCGGCCTCTCCAGAGCGAAATGGGGACACTGCCCCCCACCACGGGCCAGAACCAAGGCCCAGAGTCCAGACCGAATTCCTGGGTCCAGCGGACGGTCAGGTGGGAGGAGCCACCAGCTTCGGGCCCCTGGGCTCTGTCAGTCTGTCACTCGCCTTCTGGGATGGGATGACACTTGTCCCCGGACATATGCTCCGCCGTGCACAGGAACGCGCAACCGTGCCACTGGGGACTGGATCATTCCCTGTTGTGGGACATCCTGTCTACATAGGAGGCCCCTGTTGTGACAGCCACTCATGTCCCCAGATATTGCCACATGTCCCCTGCGGGGCAGACTTGCCTGACCTAGTAATGGTGCCAAGTAAACTTGGCACAGCGGGCAGACGTATAATGTGTCATGAGAAGGGAGGTGTCCTGGAGAGCCAGGGAGGGCGGGACAAAAGGACCGGGCCCCCGAGAGGACATGGACTCTGTGTGGAGAAGCTTCACCTGGGAGGCGTCGCCTTCCCGCTGAAAGCCTCGGGGAAACGGAGGCCAGAGGGACGAGCCCTGCTGGGTTTGGAGTCTGGGGGGCCCGGCGTGGGCAGCGGGGCCCCGGCACACCCACAGCTCACAGCGGCCCGTCCTCGGTCTTGCAGCTCCGTTTTTCTGTCTTGGAGGAGGAAACCCTGAGGCGAGTGGCCGGGAGCTTGAGCCCGTGCCCAGGGGCTCAGCTGACAGCTCGTTAGTGCACGTGGCCCTGCCCCCGCCCCATCTGGGTCGGGGGGGGGCACGTCCCCCTGCTTGCTGGGCGGGGAGTTCCGCCCGGTGGGCTCTTGGCCAGCCTTCGCTGCGGGGGGCGGCTGGCGCCTGCCGGCGGGTGGCCCCTGTGCCTTGTGGCGACACGGGCCGTCGGCAGGACCAGCACCGGCCTCGCCTGCTGCAGGGTGGGGGCGGAGATGGGGGGCCAGCGGCCGAGCCCCTCCCCACGGACCCGCCCGAGCCAGCCGAAACCTCCCGGCTCCAGCCGCGTCGAACTCCCCTTCCTGTTGAGAGTTTTCCACCTTCAAGGGGAAAAGCAAAACCAAACCAGAAACAAGGAATGAAAATTGCAGCATTTGCAGCCCCCGGGACTGGGGCTCTTCTGAGCCTCCTCACCGGAAGGGGTCCCCACACACCACTGTCCTGCAGGGAGGGGTGACTGTGTGTGTGTGTGATCGGTGTGCGCGTTGGGGCGGGAACGGGTGCCGGGCGTTGGGGGGCGGCCCCCGCGGTCTCACGCGTGCCCTTGGCCTTGCAGCGGAGCTGGAGTTCGTTGAGATCACCATCATCGTGGTGGTGGTGATGGTGATGGTGGTGGTGATCACGTGCCTGCTGAGCCACTACAAGCTGTCCGCGCGCTCCTTCATCGGCCGGCACAGCCAGGGCCGGAGGCGAGAAGACGCCCTGTCCTCAGTAAGTGCCCCGCCCTTGCCTTGGGACACTCGGGGAGTGCGCGGGACCCGGGGAGGACACAGCGCTAGGTACAGACAGAGCCCCGATGGGGCCGGGTCGTGGGAGAGGCGCCCAGTCCTGCGAGGGGGCCCAGATGCGGGGCGAGGAGGGGGCGGGCGGGTGTCTCCCTCGAGCCAACACCCTGCAGGCGTCTGGGCCAGGGATGCAGGCCTTGGAGGCGGCAGTCACGCCGGGAAAGGCCCTTCAGTTTAATCCCAGCTCTCCCGGCCCCGGCTCTGTGCCCTCAGACCAGTCCCTGACCCGTGACGTGGGGCTTCAGTCCCCACTCAGTGTGTAAGCGTCTGGGACAGAAGCTAAGGCCCCGCGGACAGGCTGGGATGACGGAGCTGGTAGCAGGTGGGCGGCCCCGGGGCTGTCGGCCGGCTCACATCTCCGGACATGTGGGAGGACGGTGACAGGACCCCCCAGACAGGGGGCCGTGCTGGGTGCGGCCTCCCGGTTCCCGGGGACACGTGGGGTTGACGGCAGTGCTCAGTCTCTCTGGGGCTGAGCCAAGTCAGCTGGCAGGCCTGTCCCGGCAGGTTCGGGCATCTCTCCTGGCGTCAGACCACGGCCGCCGTCTGTCACCGGGTGGCCAGGGCCAGGAGCAGCCGCTCTGGTCCTTCCGGCGGGAACGCCGGGCCCGTGTTCAGTTGCTCCTGCTCCTACCCCCCCGCTGCCGCGCCTACACTCAGCTCCCCTGCTCGCAGCAGCTTGGGAACCCCATTTTACAGAGGAGGAGCAAGCTCAGAGAGGGGGACACTCGCCCGAGGCCACCCAGCTTTTATGTGACAGTTTGAAGGGCCCACACCCCCGTTTTGTCTCTTTTGGCGCTGGGGCCAGCGAGGGCACTTTGCACAAAGGGGAAGACAGCCGCCCCATAGCACGGTCGCCAGGCTGGGTCCCCTTCCCCTCGGAGCCCCCTGTGAGCCTCTGTAGCATGGGCGGAGCTGGCCCGCCTCCTGCCACCCCCTGCAAGGATGAAGTTAGCAAGGGCGTGTTTGCGGGGGGGGCGGGTGCAGAGGCTCCCGTGGGCGGCAGCCCCGCTTCCAGGGAGCAGGAGGGCCCTGTGCCCAGCACCTGGGACTTCGTGCCCAGACGGAGGTCAGGATTCAAGTCCTGGTTCCAGGATACCTGAGGGTAAAAGAAAGCCACCCCCCGCCATCTACCCAGCCACCTGCACAGGCTCCTGGGGATTCCTGGCTGAGTAAACACAGAGCCTCGCAAGTGTGCCAGCTCCCCTGGGGACCCCCTGCCAGACACGGCGCATCTGAGGATTCTCAGAGAGACCCAACCCTGGCCGTGGTCTGCCCGGGGCTGGGCTCGCCTGCGCCTGGCTGTCCTGCCAGAGCCCCTTATTGGGGTGCCATCGGGGTGCCGTCCTGGGTGCGCGTTTCCGCACTGGCACACAGCCAAGCCCACTTCCGTGGTCTCTTCTGCGGTGGCTGCATGTGCGCTCAGCAGCATTGGTACTGATGGGACCGGCTGCCCCACAGAGCAGGCAATATTTTGCTCTCTGGCCCTTTACGGAAACAGTGTTTGGGCCCCTGGCCTAGGTGGGGAAGCGTGTGGCTGTCTGGATGAGCTCCGTGCAAGGAAGCTCTTAGAAAGAAAAGGAGCCAGGTGCAGCCTGACGTGTCAGGGAGGGGCAGGGGCCCGGAGGAGCTGTCGGGAACAGCTCTGGGGTCTGGCGGTTGGACCTGGACAGATGCTGGGGGCACTCACTGAACTGGGGAACAGGGAGTGTAAGGCCCAGCCTCCGAGCAGGTGGGTTCTAATTGCGTGCAGCGCAGTCAGCTGGATGGTGAGTTTCATAGAGCAGGGCCAGGCTGATAGAGGTGTTGAGGTGCTGGGGGAGCCTCAGGAGGGGTGTCTGGCCCAGTGGACGGTTCCTGGTGGGTGGTTCCTGGAGGGCTCCCTGGAGGAGGTGACCTCCAGGAGCACAGGTGGGAGGTGGGTGGTTCTGGAGTCTACAGTGGGGCCCCCAGGCACGGATGGGTGTTTTCTTTTCTTTTTAAAAAAATTATGTATTTTCTTAATCCTCACCCGAGGATATATCCAGAGAGAGAGAGGAAGGGAGAGAGCAAAAGAAGCATCGAACAGTGGCCTCCCTCAGGCACCCTGACCAGGGATCGAACCTGCCACCTTTTGGTTTACGGATTGACACTCCAACCAACTTGAGCCACACCGGTCAGGGTCTGATTGGTGTTTTCTTAACCTCCCTGGCTGGTGCTCCTTTGCAACCGAGTAGAGGACCCTTGAGCTAGGGCTCAGTTGGGTGGGGGTGGGGATGGTGGGAAGAGGCGTCGGTGGCCACGTCATTCAGGGCCTCGGAAGGAGGGTTTTAGGCAGGGGCTCGTCTGGGTCACGCTTCACCCAAGCCCTCTTGGCTGCCTGCACCCCTGCCCTGGGCTCCCAGCTCCACATGGGAGCAGGTGGTTTACTGGGAGAATTGAGATGGTGCTTAAGAGAGCCTATCACAGTGCCCGACACCGACACAGCAACTGACATGGCATTATTAACATTAGTGGCAAACGACCATGTTAACGGTAACAGCGTATGTCTGCTCTCTGCATCCCCACACCCGGAACGCACCAGACCCCAGTGAGTTCTTGGTTCGGTGTCTCCCTGGTGGGGACTGGTTTGTGAGACACAGGACCCCCTAGCGGTCATATAGGGAATTGCAGCCCAAGGGGCAAGTCCTCCCTAGACTGCAGGTGTGAATCCTCAGCTGGGAACACCTAGGAACACGTGTCCCCAAGGAAATTAAAGGGATGGTGAGCATGTTCGTTATTTTGATTGTGGTGACTGGTCCTTGGTGTATACATATGCCACAACTTAACCAAGGTATAGACTTGGATTATGTGCAGGTTGTTATATGTCAGGTATACCTCAGGAAAGGGAATTTTTAAAGGAAGACATCCCACCAGCAGGCCTAGCACCTGGGTTTTCCTCTCAGACACACTGATTCTGGCACAGGGTCCCTGTCTCCTGACCCCCAGGCCGCTCCCTGTGACGTGGGAGTCTCAGTGGACAGGAAGGGGTCTCGCGTCATCGGTTGAGAGAGGTCCCAGGAGCCCAGGCGGGGTTTCGACCTCAGCGGGAGCAAAGGGCCCCAGTGTCAGCAGAGGAGGCTGTTTCCTGTCCCCTCGGCCCCTCCGTGGGGTGGGCTCACCGTCTCTAACCTCCATCCGGTGAGGGGAGCCAGTGGCATGGCTGGAACTCACCCTGGGCGTACGCCACAGGGAGCACATGCAGCCTGGCTGCCCTCGGCGGCAGACGGGAGCCCTGACCCAGCCCCCCGGGTTCCGGGGGCGGAGCTGCAGGCCCCCCGCCCGGAGTTTCAGGGCAGAGAGCAGGAGCCTCAGGGGGCGGCAGCTCCACACCCCGCCCCTGGCCCGGAGCTTGGCGTCGGACGAACGTGGAGCCACATCCACGTTTGTTGACTCGCTGAGTCATTTTGTGGCGGAGCAGCTAGGCGGGGCCCTTGGCATGTTAACTCTCACTCCTTCACCTGCAACCTGGGCTCGCAAGAGGGAGAGGCCAAGGTGGGTCAGGAGCTAAATAAACACATAGACAAGATGATTCTTTTGAAGGAAATGATTAGATGGCTGGTTTTTTAATGGGCGAGGGCTCTTTAGATAATGGTGTCAAAGAAAATCTGCGGGGGGCCCGGAATGAACAAGCGAGGGGGTGCGTGCCATGGCGGAGCTCTCGGGGTCCAAGCCGGGGGCACCCTGGGCTCCCTCAGCTCTGTCCACCCTGCTGACCTGTCTCCTCCCCCCACAGGAAGGATACCTCTGGCCCCCAGAGAGCACCGTGTCCGGCAGCGGGATCCCGGAGGTGAGCCCCAGCCCTGCCCCCGCCCCCGCCACGCCGGCTCCCCAAGGCAGCTTTTGTGGCCGCAAAGGCCCCCTGGCCCGCAGATCCCCTTCCCACCTCTGGGCTCACACCTTGGTCCTTCTCTGAAGAGAAGTCTTTGGCAGCTGGGATCCCCCCTGCTGCGCCCAGGAAGCAGCCCCCAGAGTCTGCAACAGCCCAAAGGCTGCCCCTTTGGCCGCTCCAGGACGGCATCCGTCGCCAGGGCTCACAGGGGCTCGGCGCCGTCCCATCTACCCTGCCACCCCCCGCCCCCCTCTCCCCAGGGAGCAGAGTCGCAGGCAGCCGTCCCCGCCTGGGGCCCCGCTCTGGGGGACCCTCACTCTGCTCTGCCCCCTCCAGCCGCAGGTCTATGCCCCACCGAGGCCCGCCGACCGCCTGGCCGTGCCGCCCTTCGCCCAGCGGGACCGCTTCCACCGCTTCCAGCCCACCTACCCCTACCTGCAGCACGAGATCGACCTGCCGCCCACCATCTCGCTGTCGGACGGGGAAGAGCCGCCCCCCTACCAGGGCCCCTGCACCCTCCAGCTCCGGGACCCCGAGCAGCAGCTGGAGCTGAACCGCGAGTCGGTGCGTGCGCCCCCGAACAGAACCATCTTCGACAGCGACCTGCTTGGCAGCACGGTGCTGGGCGGGCCCTGCCCCCCCAGCAGTAACTCGGGCATCAGCGCCACGTGCTACGGCGGCAGCGGGCGCATGGAGGGGCCGCCCCCCACCTACAGCGAGGTCATTGGGCACTACCCCGGGTCCGCGACGTTCCAGCATCAGCAGAGCAGCGGGCCACCCTCCTTGCTGGAGGGGACTCGGCTCCACCACGCACACATCGCGCCCCCAGAGAGCACAGCCACCTGGAGCCAAGAGAAGGATAAACAGAAAGGACACCCCCTCTAGGGGCTCCCGGGGGCCGGCCGGGCAGCAGTGGGGAAAGAGGCGAAACACTCCGCACTTCTAAGAAGGGGGCGGGGGGGGGGGGCAGACACAGCAAACACGGGCATCACCATCCCCTCCCCCACCTCTCTGTGTATAAATATTTACATGTTCTGTCTGGTCTGAATGCACAAGCTAAGAAAGCTTGCAAAAAAAAAAAAAAATCCACAAAAAAACATGTTTCTTTGTTGAGCCGTGTCTTGAAGGCAAAAGAGAAAAAGAAAATTCTACCCTAGTCGTTTCTGTTCCTAATTGAGCTGCGTGAACGCTTACCTTCTGTTTGTTTATGATGACTTTACTTAACTTTAAAGACATTTGCACAAAACCTTTGTTTAAAGATCTGCAATATTATATATATAAATATATATAAAGTAAGAGAAACTGTATGTGCGAGGGCAGGAGTATTTTTGTATTAGAAGAGTCCTATTAAAAAAAAAAAGTTGTTTTCTGAACTAGAAAAGAAAATGGCCATTTTTGCGTGCCAACTGAGAAAGTGTGCATTACCTTGTAAAGAAAACAATTACAAAGCAGGGGTTTAGAGTTATTTATATAAATGTTGAGCTTTTGCACTATTTTTTAATATAAATATGTCAGTGCTTGTTTTATGGAAACTTCTATCATGTCTGTCGAGACTTCCAAGGGAGAAATGTCGAACTCCAACGTCAGGCTGGGGGTGGGCTCCGCGCAGACTTTGGAGAGAGGCGTCCGGACGGGCCGCTTTCCTAAGGAGCGGAAGCTTTGTCGAGTGACAGGTGGTTTCACCTGGTGACACATTCCCTCCCGAAGGGGACACAGGTTTTCCCCCTCTGGGTCAGAACAGCCTTCAGCTCGCACGAAATAGGAAAGATCCTCGAGGCACCAAGCTCCAGGTGGTGGCCTTGGCTTTTCCCCAAATGAAAATAAACTGTTACTGAAGGAATTTAAGTTTTCCTCCTCTATTTTTTTGTTAAACCACGATGCTCCTGTTGTTGTACTGCCGGCCGCACACCAGAAGGGTGCAGGCGGCTTGTTGGTGCGGGGCGTGTTGGCTAAGGTCAGTGCCGTCCGCTAAGCCTGCAGGAAAGGCCCAGAGTATCAGAAATGTGAGCTTGCCCCTGTCTTTCTCTCCACGTGTCGAATCTCACCTAACAGGCCAGTAAACAGAAGACCAGAGATGAAAAAGAAACACTCCCAGGACATGCGGAAGGGTTCTCGAAACGAGAAAGACAGTCAAACCTATGCTCAATGGATGCTGTAGAAGCCGAATCTCTGCCTTCCCTCCACCTCCATGTCCTCCTCTGCACCACCCTGTTCAGTATGTGTATTTATGTGTGTGTCCGTAAGCATCTTTCTCAGACGCAACTCTTGTTCACCAGGATCTTCCTGAGTAGATTTGGGTGTGGTGAGGCCCCTTCGTGGTGGTGCGCCAGCAAAGAAGCATGCGAGGGCACAAGTGTGTGCAAGGGCAGGTGAATGACGGGCAGCGGAGTGGCTTGGCATCGACCGGGGACAGTGGCTGGAGCAGGAGGTCCTTCCGCCCCCCCGAGGACTTGCTACTATTCCAGGGGGTGGGTGACCCCCGCCCCACGTGGACGAGCAGCCCCCTGCCCCCCACCCCACGGAGGTGTCTTCATTTCCGGCAGAATGCCAACTAGCCCACGAACATAGGAGAAAGGTGTAAGAGGCAATAACTATTGTTTTTAAGCAACTTTTTTAGTACTTGGCAAACAAAAACCCAAGAACAATTTTGAAGTTCTGACCATTTGAACTCTATTTATATACACATTGTAAGAACCTAGTGACCAACAGGTAAAGGGTCGTCTTGAGTGGCTGACTGGTCCAGGAGCAGGAAGTGTTTGTACCTTAACAATAAGCCCCGCCTCTCCGTGGGGTCTTCGGCCTGAAATCCGCTTCCCTCGAAGATGATTCTTTTGAAAGGTCGTGCAGAGAAATCCATCCAGTTTGCCGTGAAAGGTCCGGGGACACATCTAGAGATAACATTTGTTTAAAAACAGACCCTCCTGTGGAGCCTCTCCCTAGTGCCTTACTGAGGAAGCGCCTGACCCACCTCTCACCAGGCCAGGTGGTCCTGGGCAGGAACGGGCTCGCCCGGGACCGGCCTTCCCGCTCCTGGTCCGCAAAGGGCTGCTGCTTCTGTTCAAACGTCCCCGTCGCCCTCTCACGTCCCGTCCCAGCCTCCCTTGTCAAGCGCTGTGCTTCCTGTCTGCCTGGGTCGAAATCCTAGACTTGGACCTCGTTTGTGTGGACAGTGGCCACCACAGCCCGTCCCACGCGCTCCCCTGAGGCAGACTCGGAGCCGTGTTGCTGGGTGGCAGGGTGGGGTACCCGCAGCTGCTGTGCTTTCAGAGTTAGAAGGAGGCCGGCGTGGGTGGCTGATCTCAGGGGGCTCTAGGGCTGAGCACGGCCCTCGGACCACGCCCCCGCATCGCACTCCAGGTCACCGTGCCGTGGTGCCCCTGGCTTCGTGCCAGCAGACAATTGCAGAAGTACATGGCGGAGTGGCTTGGGAAAGCCAAAGCGCATGTCTCAAGAAGAGCAGTGGTGTGTGTTTGTGGCGATTACCGCCCTCGCTAAGCTCTTGGTTTCTCTGTGGACCCCGGAGTTGGGCTGGGGGTGGGGAGGAGGTACAGTCTTTAGGGGTTGGCTCTCATGCTATTACTATTTTTGAAAAGCCTTTGAGCACCCTTCAGGAGGCCCCCTGTTTCCAGTAGAGATCTGGGGAGTCTTCAGAAGTGGCTGGTTGGAGGGGGACCAGGCTGGGTTCAGAAAAGGTGGCTGAGCTCAGCTTTCTTAATGCTCATTGTTTTCCTGCTTGTCAACCCCCACACCCCCCACCCCGACCCCGCAAAGCCCGGGTCCATGCAGATGGCCTTAGCGAAGTCCACTAAGAGCCCTCCCTGTTCCCCCAAACCCCACGTTTGTGCACAGAGCTGAACGTGACTTCTCTTCCCCGTCCAGCGAACCCCGAACCCGTTCCCTGTCCTCCTCTCCCTCCTCTGTGAATTGTACATTTCAGAGGTTTCCTTTTTGGTCCGTGCAACCTAAAGCCTCCAGATCCACAAAACATGCTGATGAAAAGGAAAGAAATCTTCTCCGGAATCTGCACGTCCCAAGCGTCGCTGTCGGATAGAGCTGAGCCGGAGGGACGCGGCGCTCCCACCGGCCTGCCTGGCTCCGTGGCGGCTGGGCTGACAGCGACGCTTTCACGTGGTGCGCCTGGCGTTGGAACCGCTCGCCTCTGCTGCCCATCTCCCGAGTTCTGTTAAACTGTAAACTCTCCGGCACACTGAGTGCAGGGCCCACGTCACTGCTGCCTAAGAGACTGTGCGTTTGGGTGCCAATCTGCAGGCCTGATGAAATCGCTTGTTGTGTATCAATAATCGTCCGTGGCAATGACGACATTCTGAAAAGCTGCAATACTTAAACAATAAATTTTGCAATTCTTTGGAAGGAGGCTGTGTTGTTTCTTTGGTTGTTCCGCTCCCCCACCACCCTCAGCAACAGCCCCAGGATCTCTCTGTGCGACTGTGGCCGACTCCCTCCTCCTCTCGGCTTCAGGGCAGGGCACCTGGTGCCAACCCAGTACTTGGGCTAAAAGAGTTTCCAAAACATTGCCCACTTTTCCTCCTTGGAGAATCACTAGTTGCTAGAACATGACCAGAGCTCTGACGAGGTCTGCAAGATGAAACTTTTTAGGTAAGGTTTTCCCAGAAGTAAACTCCAAGACGGTCCCCTGTCTGGAGGGGTGGGTCACGGCTGTCTCCCAGGGGACCTGGTTTGGGGGGTCACGAGGAGGACAGGCAGCAGTGGGTCACAGAACCCCAAAAGGGACCCCAGGGTGTGTGAGTGTGGCATCCACAATGCCCACAGCAGAAAATCTTATTTATCTCTCTCGTGTCTTTATTGCCTGATAAATGTTTTTGGTTTTTTTTTTTTTAAATCAGCTTAAACAGAGTCCATACCCCACAGAGATGACCAGTTTGGCCTCAGACCCAAGGGTTCCTAAGCTGCTAGACCCCTCATGCCGCAGGGCACAGAACGCAGCACAGGTCGGCACTCCCTGCACGGTGCACAAAAACCGCAGAGGTTGCAAAGACTTAGGGAGAAGCTGAAAGATGACTCTTCATCCCTTGGTCTAAGAGCAGCGTGGGCAACACAGTGTTGTGCCCGGAGCCCAGGTGCCTCTCCTGGTGGCCGCTCCCTTTCTGGTCCTCAGCCACCTCGACTGTGGAATGGACTGATGGCCGTACCTCTGAGCTCATTGCGCCTGGTGTCCAATAAGGAAATGCCTGTTGCTCCCCAAAAGGGTGCCTGCCACACGTAAATACCAGTGAGCCGCTTCCATCGGTAATGGGCTCCCAGCAATGGTTTTCATAGCATCGAATGAAAGCCCCCGGGGGCTTCTGGGTCAGTTCGCAGGTGCTGGGCCGAGCGCACACACAGCCCACACCCCCCAGGTCGTCAGGGCAGGACAGGGTTTCCCCGGACGGAGACCCCCACTTGGAGTACAGCCCAAGCAGTACAGCCGTCTCTGTCCAGGATAATGACTGAACTCGTGACAGCTGGTAGGCCTTGAGCATCCGTTAGGTGGTGTGCATGATGCTGAGTGACTGACACCCGTTTGGGCGCTGAGGAGGCCACTGGGGGTACCAGTGCATCAGATCCAACCCTCGACCTCAAAGAGCTCACCTTCGACCGCAGCACAAGACGGTGAGGGCAAGGGTGGGCTGTTAGGAGCGAGAGGGGGAGGTGAGCCCCTCACACCCTGCGCAACAGCCAGGAAGGGGGGTAGGCATGGCCCGATACGGGGCGGGGGCACCAAGAAGATGGTTCGGGATGTCCCACAGGCAATTGGAATGTGACTGAGAAACAGCCACATTTCCCCTTGGAGCCCATCCCATAGGCAGGTACCCATGGCCGGCGCCCGGGGTGCAGCTCAGCTGGGACTCTCTGGGTTCAACTGTCTG